ACTCAATTGAAGAATCGTTGTCGGGTTCAGAAACATAGAACATAAAAGCGGAGACCGAAATGGCACATGGGAAATGACATAATCATATTATAATGTATTCATTTGCGCCATCCATGCATTCGGTTTAGAATACCAAACGCGTATTCAGAAGACCTGCGTTTGAGAGCCGTTTGGCTTCGCATTTTTATAGGTTGCAGCGTAGACGAAGCCGCTTAGCTTATTTACTTTCCATGTGCTATTTCGGTTTCAGCTTCTATGTTCTATGTTTCTGAACCCGACAACGATTCTTCAATTGAGTGTATACAGCAAGTAAGTCTCTACATGTAGTTAGTATATTGCTTCAGATGGAATACACTAAAAATAGAATAAATAATTATTATTAATTCTACTTTAGACAATGCCACTATGACCCACAATGCCCTTTGGTCTTGGAATGCACTATTCACTATTCACTACGCAGTATGCAGTATTCAATCTTTTTTGAAATTGTTGTATAGCTATAATTTCTTTTAGTTTGTCAGGTTTGTCTTTCCTGGGCAAAGAACATGAATGATTCTCCTCGTGGTATTTAGAAAAACTTCTCATTATCATATTACAGACCGCACGGTAGTTTTTAATTCGACGTTTTTTTATTAAGTAAAATAAATTACAATCGATTCGGAAAATTCTGAAAAAAGGTTGAAAAAAACTTAGGTAGACAGCAACGTGCATCAACTTATCAAACAAGCAAGCCAACTCGTTTTTGCTGCTTGGATAGTTATTAAGGATGTGATTTCTGTTTCTTTAAGCAAATTTTTCTCGCAAAAAAAAAAAAAAAAAAAAAAAATTTGCTTCAAGAAACTGAATCACATCTTTAACTCATATTGCAGCAACTCTTCAAACTTGCAGCATGTTCCGTGATACTAAGACGTTTTGAGACGCCATTTTGTTTTCCTTGGTTACCCCCTAAGGCGCAAAGCATTGTCGGTATGCGCAAGTAGAGAATAGTGAAAATTAGCTTTAAAAAAAAAGCTACCGAAAAGGGTCCTAGAAGGGAAGGTATAAAATGTCATCACACTTGAGGCCTATAACCCCAGCAATGTAAAAGCTCCATACGATTGAAGATATGGAAACCCCTGAGATAGATACCTGGCCATMTTGGGTGGGTCGCACGCGTAACTCTTTGTATCCGTGAGGGATATAGGTTTGACTGTAATCAAATCTGTAATTCACCAAGCAGAAATGATCGTCAGTGTTTTTAGTAAATAACTATCAATGTCCATCAATGCTTGGATGTCATATGACAGTTTTCCTGAGTTCAATAAAGTGGTCTAATGCAAAGGAACGAACCTTGGTTTTCTCATCATTTCTTTTCTGATAGTAGAATATGCTCCATCACAGCCGACAATCAAATCTGCATTGATTTCTACTTTTTCTTCGTTCCTGCAATGATTGTATATAAAGTAAGCAAAATATAAAAGATTTCAAGTTTATCCTTTTAGGTTATGCGCATTTCCCCCCCCCCCCCCCCCCCCCCGAGGTATATTTATAAGTTCGTTGAATGGGAGGTTAGGAAGCTATCCAACATACAGCAGTCAATTCAAAAAACGTTGTCGTCGACCGGCTCAAGCCTACGCGGCTGGACCGAAAGGAATATGGGTAAAAAACACTGAAGCTGTTAAATATTCGTTCTGAATTAATTGTTCCCGCTAGTAATAAGATAATAATGGCGAGAAACAATCCATCAAATGCATGTCTTTGGGTTTAGGGAAAGAAAAACAAAGTAGTTATGATTCAGTTCACAATTTCGAAAATATGAAGGCATTCAAAAAAACGTCTCCTTCAACACTTCCCCCTCGCCTACAAAGGTTCGTGCTTTAAACCAGGCATAACTAGTCAGATAAAATTATTATTAGTCAACTCGGCTTCAATGATTGCTACCCAGAGTTCCTTTTGGTCCAGTCGCGTAGTTGAGTTGGTCGACGACCACATTTTTTGAATTGACTGTATGTCTGCGTGCTCGGCGGCATCACTCGTGGGGATGAAGGAGATTGCAAGCGGCTGTTGCGACAGGACAGCTAGGATAGCGACTGAGAATTACGCGTACACCCAGCATCTTCATTGAAAATCTCCGCTTTTTTGCTCTAAATTTAGACTAATGAAGTTGGCCACCCCTAGTTCCGTTCATTTCCTTTCTTGCTCAAGGCAAAGCGCGCCATTCCCTCACATGTTTTTCYCCGGTAATGCTTGAAAACTCAAGAGATTCATAATGGGAAAACAAGTGTATTGACATATTACAGGATTGTACATGATTGTAACATCCTTTAAACCAATCACAGCGGGTACATTTCCTGCTTATCCAATCAAAACTTTAGGGAGTGGCGTAATCACAGTCACTCTGGCACTGCTGAGTCGAACCATGAGTGTTTTTACAGTCGTACAACTGAAATACTTTGATACAAACTGAAGATGGTCTATCTTACCAACGGCATGTAACTCGGCCATTTTCCAGGTCTGTCTGAAGAAGCTTGTGCTCAAAGTGATGTTCAACATTGGAATAGCTTTCTGCAACTGTTTTTAAGCACAAGGGTGGGTCGCTTAGTAATCTCAGAGTAATATTTACATAGGAAATCGCACGATCTCGAGTACTATTCGCGATTTATAGGTACGAGTGATGTTTTGAAAGTTTTCAAGATTGGACTAGGCTTTAGACGAGTCCAATTTGAGGACTTTCAAAACATCACGAGTATCTATAAATTCCGAATTGTACGAGAAGATCGTGCGATCTTTTRTTTATAGGACACTCAGCAAAATTGAGCAGCTTATTAATTGGAACTCTACAGCGTAGAGTTTGGGATTTAATTGATCTGTCCAATCAGAATCGGGTAATTTTGTTGAGTGTATTACAAATAATGTAAGCACTTTTGTCGTATTACGTTTGCTATTACAGTAACTACAATGCACAAATAGAATATTGAAAGTAAAAGACTGGGGTAAATGTAAAGGCGCTAACGTACGCCCGTAGCCTTTCTCTTAATTAACATTCGTAACAACAAAACAAGGGTTTTAAACCAAAGGTTTCAGTGAAAGGTCGTTTACTGGGTACAAGAAACTTAAGTTGAAAACTTCGTTAAGAAGGAAGAACTATTAATATCCTTAATTATTTACCCGTTAGCAGATGTTCGTTCACCTTCTTTCTTTCAAGAGATATTATGTGCTGAAATACGAATGTAAAAGCAAACAAATAGATAAGTAAATGAAACAAAAGAAAGAACAAATAATAAATATATCGGAATTGGAAAACTTTATTTATCCACGGTAGGTGGGTGGGTGGATGGATGGATGGATGGGCAGGTGGGTGGATGGATGGATGGATGGATGAATAAA